TCCCAATCCCAAATTAATCCATTCCCAGCTTCCCCAGTCCTAGAGCATCTGCCCAGAGCCAGACTGGGCTGTTACCAGTCCCAGCCCAGTCCATTCCCAGTCTCAGACCAATATTCCCAGTCCAAGACCAATCCATCAGTATATCCCCAAATAAACCTCCCCAATTCCAGACCAGTCTCCCCAGTTCCAGATCAATCTAGTCCCAGACCAGTTTCCCCATTCCCTGACCAGTTTCCCCGATCCCAGACCAGTTTCCCCATTCCCAAATCAATTTCCCCAGTCCCAGCCCAGTCCATTCCCACTCCCAGGCCACTTTCCCCAGTCCCAGACTGGTTCACTCCCAGTCCCAATTTAGTGCAGGCAGTTCCCAGTTCCTTTCTGGATCAGCCCCAGTCCTGGATCATTCCCTCCCAGCAGCTCCCACTGTTCCCAGTCTGGATTTGGTGTCCAAACCCAGCCAGACCCAGCAGAGCATGAAGGACCATGTGCAGCCTGACTTCAGAGGGGGATTTTTTTGGGATTACCAGATTACACACACATTTCTTGGAAGAAAACCATAATTACTCCCACGTGGGTAATACAGAGAAATGGGAAATGTATGGACAGATGGTTTAATAAAAATAACGCTCTGAGGTGCACAACCTTTCCTGTCATTTCTAATAAAGGATGGCTGGAATGGCCCCTGTTTGTAAATACCCCACTGATCCTCATTGGATCCCCCCCAGGAGATTTGGGGTGAGCCAAGAACCATCTTCTTTTAGAGGGATTCACTTTCTTTTTTGACCAAAAAAAAAAATTTTTAAGCTTTGCAGGGGTATTGCATCCTCCTGCAAGATAGAGACTCTCCTGTAAAAACCTCTTTATTTTGTTAAAATTCTGAAAAACTTATGATATTTTAAAGGGTTTGCACACAACCAAACTCTCCATCCCCTCTGGAGACCAAAAACCTGGAAATTCATCACAGTGGGACAAAGTGACTTCACCATTCCCACCTTCACTTTGGCTCTGCAGCTTCCTAGGCAAAGGTGAAGGTGGAAAAATAAATCCAAATTCCCTGGGGTGAAGAGGATCCCTGTGGGGAGGATTAAAAAAATTAACCCAAATAAAATAGGGGGTTAAAATATAATTTTTAAGGGAAGGGAAGATGAGCAGCAGCAGGGCCAGGAATGTGTTGGGAACAATTTCCCCGTGTCTGCAGCACCCTGGGCAGCTCAGTCCTGCTGATGTGGGACAGCCTAATGTGCTCTTGGCAATGTCCAAAAAGTGGAAAATCAGCCCAGTTTTACCTGTTTGGGGTTTGCCTCCCAGCTGCCAGAATTCCTGAAGCCAGCTCAGCTCTCACTGATGGAGGCCAGAGTGGAAAAAATAGATATATTTATATAAAAGTCGATATTTGATAGCCCCCAAATCCAGGGAAATCTGGGTTAGGAGGAGGTTTTGGGGCATGGTTGTGGCTGTGATGTCAGGCATGGAGGGTTCTGCTGCTGCATTCCCTGTGATTCCCCAAATCTGGGGGATTTTCCCAGGTTTTGCTGTGTTGCTGTGGTTCCCAGGCAATGTTTGAAGCCCGGGCTGTGGAGCTTATCACACCTCCTGCACATCTAATCTCTGCTTATCACCCATCTCCAATGACTTCCTATTAACTCCCACTTTCTTCTCTTTTCTCTTCCTGCCTGCAAGTTCCATTTTTCTGCTTCCTAAAATGAAAACCGAGGCTTTAAATCCAATATTGATCCCTGAGCTGATTGCTCAGCCTCCCCTCAGCCCACTCCATCAATTAATTGCTTTCCCATTACTTCCATGTGGAATAACAGCAACAGGGACCCTTTTCTCCATCTAAATAAATGGGGAACAAACCACATTTTTTTCCCCGCTGGAATTCTATACATCGTGGCCAAACACAAAATATTTAAAAATTTTTGTTTTGCTGGTGGTTTTCATCAAGAAAATGGGAAGAAAGGAGGTCATTTCAGTCCATTTCTGTATATTCCCACCAGGAACACCACAAATCAAGTCCAGGCACCCTCAGGATTTAATCACTTTTTTCTTTATTAGGAGCTGGGTGAGTC